GGCAGCCTTCACGTTGTTGGCCGCCTTCTTACCCTTCTTGTACTGTGAGATAGCTCTCACAGCACGTGGGGCCCGTAAGGCAGAGGTGGCGGACTTGGTGGCCTCGTATGACCGACATTCAGTTACTACCACCTGGAGTGTGGAGGAAGCGTCCAGGGGGATGAGTCGCTGCACCAACTCTTCTTGCCTGACACCTGTCAAGATCCCGTGCTTGCTCCAGGCTTCCTCACATTCCCGGCTGTGCGCCTTGCAGACGTCGATCTCCTCCGACAAACTCCTCAAACGTACAAAAAAGTCGTCAAAGGATTCATTCTCCGTCTGCTTCCAGCTGGTGAAGGCGCGGAGATGCAAAGCCTCGTTATTCCGACCCTTAACATGCTCCTCTAAAAGGTCGAGCACATCCGTCACTGAAGACGTAGAATTGGGAGGCACTTGCAACGTGTGCTCCAAAACTCTCTGGGTCTCCAGCGACAAACACATCCGCAGTTGGAGGAGCTGTTTGTTTGGAGGCATGCTGTCAAGGTCCACCATCGTGGAGTAATCTATCCACCGCCGCCTCCACTCACGAAAAAGCTGAAACGTGACGTCTGGTGAGAGTGCGGGTGGGGGTTAAACAGATGCCTTGGGAGCTGTTGGAGTAGCAAGAGTGCCTGGAGGACGCTGGTGTTGTGGAGGAGGGAGGGTATTGGCGCCTTGGTGCGCGATACGTGCGAGTGAGGGAGGGTGGGTTAGCGCCAGGATCGCCAATATTGCATCAAAGCGCGCCTTTTCCTCCTCTCTTCATATCTCCTCCCTCTGAAGTTCCATCTCTCTGCGTCTTTCGTCCCTGTCGTCCATCCACCTCAGAATTGTGGCAATGTCCGTCGCTGGAGGTGAAGGATGAGAGGCGGTGGGCGCAGAAGCTCCATCTGTGCCCGGTAGAGAGGGAGGTGGTGGGGAGTCGTGTCTCCCATCTTGACGTTGTCCCTTCTTACCGCCCATCTTGGTATGATTGAACTGCGCTGTTTAGTATATAAAGTGGAGTCTCATCAGCTCGAACCACATATATATGACATAAACAGCGCGGAAATAACGCATAGAGTCCACTGTTCTGTCCGTGAGTGCGTGCGTGCGTGTGTGTGTGTGTGTCTGAGAGACCAGATTTGTGGTGGCCTTAATGCAGGTGGCTGGAGCCTCTGCGGAGGCGAGAACGTTAGTGTCTCCCTGGATGTCACACGAGAAGGGTGTACGCCTGCGTGTTCCGTGGGTACCACAAAAAAGAGGCCAATGCTCAACTCTCAGCTCTAGACACACTAATACACCAACACTAACACTGCCACCGTCACTAAAACACACTGTGATGGCGCAACACTGCACGTCGCGGCGAAACACAACGCAACACAACACAACATACTAGTCAACGCGCACATCGCCGGCAGTCGTAACGGTCTCGGCATTGTTCACAACACTTGTAAGTCCACAGATCCTACTCACTGCGCCATGAAGGTTCCAAGTGTTCCCTGAAGAAGGCAGTGATGGGTAGGGAAACACCGGGTAACACTGAAGTCCATTTATTAACAGATAGGAGAAATACAAGTGGTGACTAGCGTGTGCCACGCACGGCCCACAGAGTCAGACTGAGACTGCCTTGCCATATGGCAGCCTCGGGGCAACGTTGCCACATAACACGTGCAGTGTTGCCACGTAATTACATATATAAATGCTACTCGGCACAGTAGCTTTTTTACAAGGTTGCTACTCGGCACAGTAGCATAGATACATAACCTACATATATGACTAAGGAACAGTCATTTATCTGTGGTTATCTTATGCTATCTGTGTATGGCAAATGTCTAAAAAAAATTAAAATTGTATGGAATCACATACAGACATTTCTTACAAGACTCCACATAGATATTAAGTGAGGATTCGTAATTAACTAAGCAGACTAATATAACAACAAGAAATTCATAATAAAAGCACTAAATTTTCTGATCAGATCGTGTGAAGATGGGATCCAGTAACCAGTTTGACGACACCCTCACGCAGCTGGGCACCGGCAAGTGGAACCTGCTGTTGATCGTTAGCATCATGTATTGTAAGGTCGCATCTCAGTGTTCTATTTTATCCCCTCTCTGTGTAGTCATGAAATATTACGAACTCACGGACTCAATCATAATATCAAGTTCACCTTTGCCAGATCCCAGTTCCTTAGTGTTTTGTTCCAATTCATTCTCAAGATGAAAGAACCTGTAGAATAAAGAGTGATTCCATGTCTCTCTGTCGGGAAGTTAAGACTGTTTCTGTTATTCTTATTTACTTTAGACGAGAATTTACAATAAAGCCGCCTGGCATCAGCCTCCCTAACTAAAGGTATTGTACTGGGGGTCTCTGTCTTCATTTTCTATTAAATAAATAAATAGTATAAAAAAAAATAAAGTCCTGATTGGCTTAGAAACATTCAGTGACTAATTTTAATCTGTATATATTATCATTGGAACGAATTCTCAATGGTTCGTGAGTAATTTTCCCTCCAAACTGAAACTGCGTCTTTCTGTTGGGTGTTGGTCTATTCACCATCTTTCTGTTATTATTACAGGGACGATGCAGTTACCTTGTATGTTCCTGGGAGGCTCCTTCCTCGCACCACAAGTGGACCACTCCTGTCTCCTCCCTGAAGGTGCCATCCCACTCCTCACCAATCACTCCAACACCACTCAAGTGTAAGTCATCACCTCTTCTGTGTGTATGTGTGTGTGTGTGTGTGTAATAATAATAATAATAATAATTAACGGTTTATTGAAAGAGCTTGGCAGCCAGAAGGCTGAAAATATACAGTTACATATTTGGGAATGGGTTACGAATTACAAATAATATACAAGTAACATAAGTGACACAAATAAGACATATAATAACTAGATGGGGAAAAGCTCAAGCTACAGTTCATTTCAACATAGTGACAGCGCAAGAAGTAGTGTTTACTGGGAGTGAATACACTGGTTTATTACAAGTTATTGATAATTTTTACAATGGTTGGAACTGGGCTGTTCTTATAGCGATCAGCTCGTGCACGTATGGGCTGGATGCGGTTGTGGTGTCGAACAACAATTCTCGGACTAGGGATCTCAGGTGGTAGTAGGAGCCGGTGTCGAGGATGGTGTAGAAGCTTCTTACCAAATTTGCAGATGAGGTCGTGGTGATGGTCAGTGAGAGTCGAAAGGGTCAGTGTGTTGAGCGCTTCTTGATATGTGGAGTAGGAAGGGGAGAGAATAATCTTGCATGCCCTCTTTTGCACTTTTTCTAGGTGTTTACGTTGTGTGGCATTTAGAGAGGAAGACCAGGTGGGGGAGGCATAGGTGAGCTTGGGAAGTATGAATGTTGTGTAAACACTGAGGAGCTCGGGCGCAGGAACTCCGAGGGACTTGAGTCGGCGGAGGAGGTGGAGACGGAAACTGGAGGATTTGACAACTTCACTGACGTGTGGTTTCCAATTTAGTTTGTTGTCTATGGTGACGCCGATGAGCTTCGTGGAATCTACAACCTGGAGTGTGTTCGGACCTAGAGTAATGGAAGGAGGTGGGACAATGTCGGAGGAGAGGTTGATGTGCATAACCATGGTCTTGGTATGGTTGATGGTGACATGGTTGTTGGTGGCCCAGTTTTGGAGACTGTTCAATAAATCCTGAAGGGCGGTATAGTTAGGAGCAGAATTGTTGACGCTGATCCCAATGGTGGAGTCGTCGACATATTTCCAGCGAGCAGGGGTTTCTCTTAGGGCATCATTGATGAGCATTGTGAGTGTGTGTGTGTGTGTGTGTGTGTGTGTGTGAGTGTGTGTGTATTTAACCATGATTTCACTAAAATATCGTCCTCACCAGTTGATTGACCCATAACCAAGGTACAATATAAGGTAATATGGCCAAGCAGTACACTCGCCTGCCTTCACTCTCTAATTCTAAAGCTGACTGGGAGGGCCCTGGGGACAACCAGCGGGAGGGTGGGCAGACTCTTAAAGCAGGATATGAGTAATTTATTCATTCACCCACTCCAACCTTTTATATATCAGTTCAGTTTAATGCTTCATATTGCCCCCCTGCCACCCTGCCAATTGGAAAATAAACATAAGAATTCTTAATACCTAAGAAAAACAATTAGTCATGTAATCTTACGCTAATTCACCACAGGCATAAGTTTTGACCAATGCTACTTTATATTTCGTCTTTATCAGCTCGTCGTGTGAATACCTGATGGTGGGTGAAGACGATAGTGAGGAGATACGACCTTGTACTCGTTGGATCTTCGATAACTCCACCTTCTACAGCACCCTTACATCAGAGGTTATAATTACCCCTACTAATGTATCGAGTCTTCATATGTAATAAATGTCTTCTTGATAGTTTTTAACACAGTAACATGGATGTATTTATCCCAGTCACCAATACACAGTTACAATAAAGAAATTACTGTATGTATTTCATCTATGTTATAACCACCTCATGTATGCCTCAAGAACGACCGTATTAAAGACCTCATCGTTAGAACAAATATATTCTCAACAAAACGTATTTTACTCATGAATAACCCCCCCCCCCCCCCCCCCAAACCCTCACTAGATACAATATCATACTGTTAACTAATACAAACTTCAGTATCGTAGAATCGTAGAATAATAATATGATTTGTTTTTTTCTTCTTTGTTATAAATCTGTGTTTTTATTCATTGCAGTTCGAGTTGGTATGTGATTATAAGTCCCTGAGGCCAACCTACACCGGCATATATTTTATAGGTGCTTGTCTCTCCTCCTCTATCAGTGGCTGGCTCTCTGACAAGTAACTATCTTCCCTCGCTGCTGTTTTTTGTACCTTGTGAGGCTTAAGGAGTATCTTGTGAAGCTTAAGGAGTATCTTGTGAAGTTTATGGAGTATCTTGTGAAGCTTAAGCGGTACCTTGTGAAGCATGAGTAGCAATACCTTGTGAAGCTTAAGGAGTATCTTGTGAAGCTTAAAGAGTATCTTGTGAAGCATAAGGAGTATCTTTTGAAGCTTAAGTGGTACCTTGTGAAGCATGAGTAGCAATACCTTGTGAATCTTAAGGGGCATCTTGTGAAGCTTAAGGAGTTTCTTGTGACGCTTAAGTGGTACCTTGTGAAGCATAAGTAGCAATACCTTGTGACGCTTAAGGAGTATATTGTAAAGCTTAAGGAGTATCTTGTGACGCTTAAGTGGTACCTTGTGAAGCATAAGTAGCAATACCTTGTGAAGCTTAAGGAGTATCTTGTGAAGCTTAAGGAGTATCTTGTGACGCTTAAGTGGTACCTTGTGAAGCATAAGTAGCAATACCTTGTGAAGCTTAAGGAGTATCTTGTGAAGCTTAAGGAGTATCTTGTGAAGCTTAAGTGGTACCTTGTGAAGCATAAGTAGCAATACCTTGTGAAGCTTAAGGAGTATCTTGTGAAGCTTAGGGAGTATCTTATGAAGCTTAATTGATACCTTGTGAAGCTTAAGTGGTACCCTGTAAAACTTGATTAATACGTTATGAGCTGTTAATTTACTCAGACTCAGGTGTCAACTTACAGGTATGGACGCAAGAGGATGATGGTAATTGGCGCTATTACCTACGCTGTTGTGGGTAACTGTTTAAGCTGGTTACATAACATGTCCTCTATATTGGTGTTTCGTTTCATCGTAGGTCTCATGCACCCAATGGCCCTGCATACAGCTTACACCATCGGTAAATATTGCTTGATATACATCTTTTTTTGTCCTATTGTGAACCTAACCTAACCTAATCTAACCTAACCTAACTTAACCTAACCTAACTTAACCTAACCTAACTTAGCTTGGTAATATATGGCATCTAATTCTAGGGGTGACGCTTATGTCGGAACCAACATAAATAAAACAAAAAAAAAACACTCCTTAATACAAAGTAAAATCTGAGAAAAAAAATTAAAACCGAGAAATTTTGTTGAAATATGAGAAAATGTGTTGAAATCCGAGAAAATCTATTGAAATCTGAGAAAATGTGTTAAAATCTGGAAAAAATGTGTTAAAATCTGAGAAAATATGTTAAAATTCCAATCCTCTCACTTAATGATCCTCAAGTAATTACTGTAATATACCTGATACTACCAAGTATCCAGGGAATTCCGTCTACAACTGTACTATATATTACTCCCATAGAAGATTATAGAATATTGGCTAATCATAACAATTACTCCATAGAAGATTATACAACATTGTCTAATCATGATAATCACTTTGGATCCAACAGTTATAGAGACGACTGAGCCACGCCTTAGGTCAGTCATGGGCATTATGATATTCCTGCCGTGGGCCATCGCTGTGATGATCTGGGGTGCTATGGGTTACCTCTTCAGAGACTGGCGATGGCTCATGCTTGTTTCCACAGTCCCTTCACTCCTCTTCCTCCCTACGCTGTGGTAAGGGTTTATTTTAACTAATGTCAATAAGAAGAATCCCCACCTCAGCTTAAAATCAATCGCCCCAACATATACTTATTAAGGGATTTAATTCTGATGACAATTACAATTTCAGGTTTATGGACGAATCGCCACGGTGGCTTATCGTCCAGGGGCAACATGACCGGGCCATGAAGGTGCTGGAAAAGGCCGCCCGCTGGAACAAGGCCACATTACCTCCCCGGGACCAACTGCTTACCATGATGCAAAACATTGCCAGTGAGGTAATGCGGTCTGTCTCCTCAAACATTATGAGTCAAAAATACTGAATCATGACGTAAACTACTGAATATAAAAATATCTGATAAATCTATTCAATTTCCTCACGTGCAGAACTCAAAGGTCTCCAGCGGCATGAAGAGTGAAGGTTTTGTCTCCTTTCTGCGTACCTTTGTCGGGGAGTTTACGGTACTGCTCAGGTGAGTTGGACCTTAGTATCCAGACATCTTAGACGATAATACAAGAACTGATGATCTGTTTCTCTTTGTTTACTAATTATTTCAAGGAGTTTGGAGCCCAAGAACTACAAGGTAATTTCTTTAACGTCTTATCACTCAACTGACCATATAAGTTTCTAATACTTTTTTTAATTTTGGAGAAAGTGTTACAGATGTTGAAGCTGTTCTTATTGACCTGCTTAGTTTAAGGCAGCAGTAACACCGAAAGTTAAATCATTTATCATTGAGCGTTGTCGTCCTCATCAGCAACTCATCTTCACTATATACTGGAAGTTAACAGTTCATATGAAAACTTATTAAAACTGAACCAATGTTTTCTTAGTCAGTTAAAGAAATAATATATTATAAAGACCTACACAAATGAAATTATTAACAGTAACGTAGTGCAGTAACTGAAAAACATTTACCTTAATAAAAATAAAGTCAATGAGTGAATATAATTTTTGGTTTTATCTTTCACAAAAACTTTTAACCACAAATTTCTACTTCCCTCAACAGAACGAGAAAGATGCGAGCTAGAACACTGGCTATATACTTTATTTATTTAACCTTTGGACTGGTTGCCCTGGGCCTGTCTTTGGGAGGTGAAGGTTTCGGCTCTAACCCGTTTATTTACATGGCTCTCAGTGGCTTAATGGAGATACCCGGAGCCACTGTCACCGTCCCTATGATTCAGTACCTAGGACGAAGGTTATCCAACATCATCTGTCTTCTCATGACTGGCATCTCTCTTCTCGCTCTTGCCATCGTCCCATTAAGTGAGTTAATTGTATATATCATAGCGACAGTTTTATTTAATAGTGAATATTTCCCAGACTGAGGTGAGGTCATTGTAGTGGTTACTAATTTGAGGGACATCCACACTACATCCGGTACACTATCCACACTACATCCACTGCATTATCTACACTACATCCAGTATAGTGAGGAAACATTTATCATAACCTATCGACAATATTATACCTTAAAAAAACTTTTCAATTCAGATGCTCAAAATATATATATATTTACCTATAAAAATATCAAATAGACTATCATCATTTCAGATATAGGCTGGCTAGTGATGACTCTGGCCATGATAGGCAAGATGGCCATCAGTGCTGCCAATCAGATCATCCATTTACATAGTTCTGAACTATTCCCTACTGAAGTTCGCGACAGAGGCTTAGGAACCTCCGAAATGATGGCTAAATTGGGTTCAACTCTTGCTCCTTATTTGATGGACACTTTGGTGAGTCTGTGGCCTGAGTAGAGAAGTTGGGTTCGGTTGGGTTGGGTTTGGTTGGGTTTGGTTTAAACTGGGTCGGACTAGATTGAGTTGCGTTAGATTAGGTTAAATTTAAATTGGTTTGGGTTAAGTTAAATGACTAGATACGGGTTCTATCATTAAGCCATTCTCCTAGATGTTAAATTATGAATTAAAATTTAAAACACATCTATAAACACTCATTCTATCACTATATTTGGTTAATATTTCTAGTCGTAGATGTGTTTTTCTACAAGGTTTATCAGGATACCGACTTGGACCAAAAATCATAAAATGCTTCTTAAGTTCGGCTACTGTCGTTTGTCTATTAATTGTCAATATTACTTCTAAATGATCCAAGTATTCGTAGTGACTTCAAAACACCATTAAATCCACCACCCCTTCACCCCCCACTGTTTACATTCTTGATCCCCTATTTCAGTCTAATTCAAGTCTTGGTATCAATATCATGTACTTCTGTTACGTAGTACTATCCTGTCAGTGTATTAATATAGTTATTTATTATGATGGGGTGGATGGCCAGCGTACTGTATGGGTGTCAGCGCCATCGGTGGTGTGTGGAGTGACGGGGCTGTTAGCTGCTGGGGTTACCTTTACGCTGCCCGAAACGACGAACACGGCACTACTTGACACCGTCGAGGCACTTGAGGAGACGTCTTCACTTTCCCGCAAGAGGTATACGTATTGTACAGCTGTGTGTCATCATCATCATCATCATCATCATCATAATCATAAATAAATATCTTTGTCATCATATCATATACTCTTATCACTCCATAACACCTCCATCGTCCATAGAGTTTTGTTACCTGATCCTACAGGTCAACTTGTGTACATGAATGATCCTCCGTGTGTGTGCGTGTGTGTGTGTGTGTGTCTAAACTTTCCTCTTGAATATATAATAAACTTCATATATATTTCCTTCATCCACAGAAATGCCTCGTCATCACCCTTACACAAGCAAGAGGACCACGTCAACACAGAAGAAAAAATACCCCTCGCTTAAAATAACAAGACAACAGGACAACGAAATATTTGTCTTTATATCTGCTCTTTTTTACAGACTGTGTGTGTGTGTGTTTCGTCCACTGATAGAATTACACACAAACACATCTTATATGCCCCTCCTAACCATACGCGTCCAAATCCTTTTAGACATCTACGTAGAAACTCGAATACTGTTAGGCTCCGTACGCATTACAGAGAAGTCAGTTATTCAGTATTTAATAGATAAAAATGGATAAAAGTAATGTGTCTTGTGTCAATAAGGAGATACAGAGATATATCGATGTATAAAACTATAACAGGCGTAAGGAGAAGTAATGAAAATAAAACTTATCGAATACCAACCTCTTTTTAAATGGCCGAATTATTACTGTTTCTAATATTTCAGGTAAGTTGTACAAAGTTAGGACCATTTATGAATCCATATTTTATTGTAGTTGCTGAGGTACTGTACTGTTCACGTCTTAAATAAAGTCCTTTACTTTACTTTTTACTTTTATCCTCGTCACCACTGATCGGCTCGTTAGCCGCTTGGGCAATCGGTCACGTCTCTGTTCCCCACTGTTGGCAAGTACTGAGCATGCACCGGCTCCTGCATGTACCTGAACCTGCTCCAGTGCTGGTCAAATCTGATCTTGAACAGCTTACACTTGGTGCCGTCACAACACTCTTTGGCTGATTGTTCCAAGAGTTCACAACTCTCACTCCCAAAAAGCTACCCGTCACAGTTTTCTGGGCTTGCGGCTTCTTAAACCTTGAGCTGTGAGCCTGTGACCCCTTGTGGAGCGAGCGTCCGCCAGTTCCAGGTAAGGGCACTCAACTGATTTGTGCCCTTTGAGAAGTTTATACATCTCAATTAGGTCCCCCCTTGCCCGTCTGTAGTATAACCTAGGCAATTTCAGGCGCAAAAATCTCTCAGGGTAGCTGAGTTCCCGAAGTGCAGGCACTAGTCTGTCATTAGGTTTTCTCACATCATCAAAATTTTCTTCACTTTCTGTGAGGATTTTAACAGTGACTTAAAGATTTACGCTCACAAGCTCTTCCTGTCAGATTTGTTGTCGATTCTAAGGTTAGGAATTGTTACTCATATTTGTTGATTATTTACTGTAATCATGGAACCAAGACATCATGATTGGCGATTTATTAACAAAGTGTATCAGGTGTGTATCTGTGTGTGTGTGTGTGCATTAAAATCATCATACAAGTTGACAATTGTTTGACACACACAAACACACACACACACACACACACACATATACATATATATATATATATATATATATATATATATATATATATATATATATATATATATATATATATATATATATATATATATATATATATATATATGTATTGTTACGACCGTGTCGTATTTTTTCTATTATATTTTATAACCTGCTTCCATGTTGTTCCATATTATTCCCGTAATGATGTGTTGTATTTACTATTATATAATCTAGTCACCTTACCCTGTGCTGTTAAGGTTTTAACTGTTTTTATTTGTTCAAGCCCATCTTATTTCTAAATTTAGTATTGTAATAAGCATTCTTTGTTTCTCTAACGACTATCTGCATCTTTAAACGACCCATGTTTCACCGGCTGGTCGCATTGGTGGGAGCCGACCCTATATATCGTACTCCACCTGTAGACAGAGTTCAGTCCAGTCCTCTTGTCATTCAGTTCACTTTCTTTTGAGTGACACCTGTCACATGTTACTTATAATTCATTTTATTTCTGTGTTGTTCCTGTCTCTACCAATGTGGTATATCTATGTGAGTACCTATTCATGTCTCTTATGTGTCCATCAGTGCTTGCTTAGTTACATTTAAGTAATTCAGTGTTGTTTCACGATAGTTAATATCAGTGTTAGTTATTTTATATGTTTATGCAGTGTTAACGTAATCCAGTGCTTTATTTTTATTCTTTTGATGTTTCGATGTTTTAGTATCTTTTGTGTCTTAAAGGTTTCGATAGTGAATCAATTTGTTGTGACAGCCTACGAGGCTCTTTATTGTGTTAGTATTATATCTAATTAAATTCTTAAAGGCTTACTTTATTTATTTTTATTCCCTTTTGATTTACTTCACTTTTCTTTTTGTTTGGTTATGCCTAGTACGAGGACTATAAAAGGGTAGACAAAGGATGCGAGTTCTTGTTGTGTATAATAAAGTACCATAAATTCCTTAACAAAATATTCAGCTTTCTATAATTTACCCTTAACCATACTTAACCTAAACATACGCAACATTGGCTTAACAGTATATACATATTTATACAACATACAACAATCTGAAGCAAGTGGAGGTGGGAGGTAATATAGGGTTACAAATACTCAAGTGCGGTGCTGAAATGTCTCAAGAGTAGGGCTGAGTATTGAAGAAGGTGGTAGGTAGTCTCTGTGCCGTAGGTTTCCAGTATACGTGATCCTAGTGTGGTCACTTCCCAGAGTGAACTGAACTCTCCTCGATCCGGAGCTGATGAGGAAGAGTTGGAGGAGGTGACGCAACAACCAGGATATGGAGAAGGGAAACCCGGCGTGGTGACTAAGACTAGTCATACTCGGGTCGCGTCCCAAGATGGCGTTGCTCGTGGTGCTGGGTAGGTAGATCATGACACAATAGATGGCGTGGTTCGTAACACACACCCCCTCTCCAAAGACCTCTGTAGCGTGGGCGCAAAGGAGGTGATCACCTGATGCGTCTGGAGAGTAGCTGCTGCATTTCCACTGGAGCTCGGGATAAGGAGTCCGCAATCAGGTTGTCCACCCCTTTTATGTGCCGGACTTGTAGATTATAGGGCTGGGTGAGGAGAGCCCAGCGGAGGATTCGCTGGTTGGAGGTCTTGTTGGTTTGGATGAATGTGAGCGGGTTATGGTCGGTGAAGACTAGGGTGGTTTGTGGGCGAGATTGGAGGTAACATTCAAACTTCTTTATTGCCAACACCAGAGCCAGGGCCTCCTTCTCTATGGTCGAGTAGTTGGTCTGATGTTTTTTCAACTTGGCGGAGTAGTATGCCACAGGGTGAAGGACATCAGTGGTTGGGTGGGGTTGTAAGAGCAGAGCCCCGACTCCGACACAGCTAGCGTCGATTTGCAGATGGAAGGGCTTTCGACAGTGTACCCCACGAAAGGCTGAAAATCAAACTGGAAGGGTACGGAATTCGGGGAAATGTCCTAGCGTGGATAGAAGACTTTTTACATGACCGCAAGCAGTGTGTGGTGATTAATGGCACGAAATCGTCATCTGTACCTGTAACAAGTGGGGTACCACAGGGCAGTGTATTGGGCCCGCTGTTGTTTGTTTGTTTCATAAATGTTATGCCTGACGTTGTACACTCCTCCATACAAATGTTTGCCGATGACGCCAAGTTATTTCGGAAAATTAAGAACCAAGCGGACTGTGAAGAGCTGCAGAAGGACCTCTGTGGGCTCCATGAATGGTCGAAGAAATGGCTGCTGAGATACAAAGTCACAAAGTGTAAGAGGATGCACCTGGGGCGTACCAACGGTAAGGAGGCGTATCATATGTCCCAACGGGATGAAGAAAATGCACTAGTTGAGACTGTATGTGAGAAGGACCTAGGTGTGTATGTTGACAATGAGCTGAAGTTCTCGGGCCATTGTGAGAAGATGGTAAATCAGGCAAATAAATTGTTGGGTCTTATAAGAAGGTCGTTCAGATATCTAGACGATCCGTCCCTCGTAACGATCTTCAGGAGTGAAGTGCTTCCCCATCTGGAGTACTGTCACCCCATCTGGTCCCCGAGATATGCTAGGGACTGTCAATTTGTTGAAAATGTTCAAAGGAGGGCCACCAGACTGGTGCCTGCACTTCGGCACCTCAGCTACACTGAGAGATTGGAGCGCCTGAACTTGCCTAGCTTATACTACAGACGGGCAAGCTGGGGACCTAGTTGAGGTGTATAAGCATCTTAGGGGGCAATACTCAGTTGAGTGTCCTTACTTGGAGCTGGCAGGCGCTCGTCCCACAAGGGGTCACAGCTCAAGATTGAAGAAGCCGCAAGTCCAGAAAACCGTGAGGGCAAACTTTTTCGGAGCGAGGGTTGTAAACTCTTGGAACAATCTACCAGAGAGTGTTGTGACGGCACCGAGTGTGAGCTCTTTCAAGACAACACTTGACCAACACTGGAGCAGGTTTAGGTACATTCAGGAGCCGGTGCATGCCCAGTATTTGCCAACAGTGCGTGACAGAGACGTGACCGATCGCCCGGGCGGCTAGCGAGCCGACCTTTTGGTGAAGAAGATAAATGAAAAGAGACGTGACCGATCGCCCGAGCGGCTAACAAGCCGATCAGTGGTGAAGAGGATAAAAGTAAATACCCATAGAGGCTCCTTGTCTAGAAATCTCGCTGAGTTTGAGAATCTAAGGTTAACAAAGTGTGTATTTGATGCCTATTTTAGTTTTTTCCTGGCAAGCTCAATTGCTGGTTAAATTATAAAAACAGGCATAAGAAATTCACCTGACACAAGATACTCCTTAAGCTTCAAAAGATACTCCTTAAGCGTCACAAGATACTCCTTAAGCCTCACATGATACTCCTTAAGCTTCACAAGGTACAAAAAAAACAACAGCGAGGGAAGATAGTTACTTGTCAGAGAGCCAGCCACTGATAGAGGAAGAGAGACAAGCACCTATAAAATATATGCCGGTGTAGGTTGGCCTCAGGGACTTATAATCACATACCAACTCGAACGGCAATGAATACAAACACGGATTTATAACAAAGAAGAAAAAACAAATCATATTATTATTCTACGATTCTACGATACTGAAGTTTGTATTAGTT